GTGTGTGTGTGTGTGTGTGTGTGTGTGTGTGTGTGTGTGTGTGTGTGTGTGTGTGTGTGTGTGTGTGTGTGTGTGTGTGTGTGTGTGTGTGTGCCTGCTCTGTCTTCTCGATCCCCAGTGAGTCGTGGAGGATGGCTGCTTATACTGAGCCAGGATTCTCTGGAGGTTTCTTCCTGTTAAAAGGGAGTTTTCCTCTCCACTGTCACTATATGCTTGCTTAGTATGAGGATTGCATCAAGTCACTGACACTAGTCAGTGACTTGATGCAATTTGCTGGGTTCCTTATATAGGAAACATTATTTCTGATTGACTTAATGAACTGACCTGAATTGGAATGTTTATTATGTGAAGTGCCTTGAGACGACTCTTGTCGTGATTTGGCGCTTTTTAAATAAAATTGAATTGAATTAAGGCAGATTTGGTGTGGTGATCCAGACCGTTCTGTTATAGGTAATGGCTCAGTCCTCCTGCTCTCCTCATTATTACAGACTCTCTGTCACGTTTGTGAATTGCCAACATTTTCTTGAACAGCTGCTTTTCCCCCTTCTCCACTCCTCCGTTGTGTTTTCTCTCCATCTAGATCGTGACAATAACGGTGCACACTGGTGCACGGAGCAACTGGGAGCGGGTGTCTAATGATAAAGCCATCCCCGTGTCACTGAAGGAAATTCAGATGAGCCACAGAGCTGCGCGTGTTAACAGGACGGTAGTTCAAACTCCCGCTGACTTGCCTTGCCAAATGCAGGAAGGGCCAAAGTGCCTGACGGCTGCAGAGCCAGAGACTGCAGGTTGACGCCTGTGCTGTCTGTAGTAGAGGTGTGAACTTTCAGCAGCAGCAGGCGTAAATCGACGGTCTCCAGCTCTGCAGCTGTAGCTTTCTTGTCGGCCTGGCTGAGAAAGGTCCTGTGCAAATGCGCAGATTATCATTCTCTTTCCCTGCTCCCGGAAGAACGGTTCAGAGCGCAAAGGCACATGCACTCTGAGTTGTACTACGTCATGAGAGAGCGTCGAGGCCTCTAAGTGCGCCTGCGCAGCAGCCAAACCCCAAGCCACTGTCCTATTTCCAGGGGTTGTCTGATTGTACCTCCGAGGAGAGCATCCTCCACGGCAGCTGCCACGAGGGACCCAGCAGCAGCTGATCTTTGAACCACAGTGCAGAGCTGCACCTGGGGTCAACCGAGATCACTGAGAGGAGCGACACTTGCAGAAATGTTTAAAGGAGCATCCTCGGCCCAGGTTGGTGGTCAAATGTGTCCACCGCCAATGGAGGCTTGTCTCCAGGTCTCAGAGAAAACCTCAGGTCCATGGCGGGTTCCCCAAACCTGTTCCAGACCTGAGCGATCAGCAGCATCCTGATCTCAAGCCCACGCAAAAGGAGGAGAGTTTGCAGCACACGTTTAGGGCAAGTACAGGGTTTCTCGCAGCATCAAAGAGGAATCCTCATCTAAGATGAATCCCTTTGATGCATGTATGTGAAAAAGCTGATTCATTCAGACGGGTACGTCTCGGCCACCAGGGAGACATTGTTGGAGGCAGATGTGGAAAACATGGTAAGATCATTCATGATTTTAAAGTGTGAAAGAGCTCTGCCAAAAAAAATGGATACATTTTTAGTCGATTTTGCACCCATAATGTCATGATTGCAGGAAGCCTCCTGACCCACATGAAGAATCACTCACAGCGACAAGGTAACAATAATAATGTTTTATTCAAGGAAAATAAATGAATTAAGGGCGCAACCCCAAACGGGGCAGGAGTAACAAACGGGAAAAACACATGGTGGGTTAAACCAGGAACTAGAGAACCAGGTGATGGCAGAGGAACAGGTAAATCTGACAGAGCAGGAACTGGGGATGGATGTGGGGAGGGGGGAGGTCAGGTCTGGTCGGTGGTAGAGAGGGATGAGGCAGGTGAGGTTTGCTTGACGGGTGTCCAGGGTCGCTGCGCAGTGGTGCAGTGGTTAGAGCTGTTGCCTTGCAGCAAGAAGGTCCCGGGTTCGCTTCCCGGCCTGGGATCTTTCTGCATGGAGTTAGCATGTTCTCCCTGTGCATGCGTGGGTTCTCTCCGGGTACTCCGGCTTCCTCCCACAGTCCAAAAACATGAATGTTAGGTTGATTGGTCTGTCTAAATTGTCCTTAGGGGTGTGTGTGTGTGTGTGTGTGTGCATGATTGTTTGTCCTGTGTGTCTCTGTGTTGCCCTGCGATGGACTCTGTCCAGGGTGTACCCCGCCTGATTGCCCGTTGGCCACTGGAGATAGGCACCAGCCCCCCGCGACCCTGCGTGGACAAAGCGGGTTCAGAAAATGGATGGATGGATGGGTATCCAGGGCAGGTGGACGGCAGAGAGCAGGCAGCCAGGGGAGATGAGTGACGACGATGAACACACACTCCAGCGAAGCTGATGCTTAAGCTGAGATCCGGTGGATGTTCTGAAGGCAGGACAGGTAATTAACACAGAGCGAGCAGGACAAGAGTTCAGGATGTGACTGGAGACCACCCAAAGTGAGAGTATCAACCGGCCTTGGAGTGTGGACACACCACTCCTCAAATCCCCTGGCCTTGCTTATGGGGAAATCAGCCACAGCTGAGACTCTCCGACACGCCCAGCTGCAGACTCAGAGGAGCAAAACAACAGGAAGACAAGTGCAGAACCATGACACATAATGACAATCTTTTTGCTTTTACTCCTAGTGTATTGTGTAGTGTTGAACAGTATGGAACAGAGTTGAGCAGAATTAAGTTGTGTTTAAACAACAAAGAAATTTATTCAAGGTCAAAATTAACCCTCTGGAGGCAGGTTTGCAGATTTGCAACATTAAAACCTACCTACCTGGTTACTCCACCCACGTATTTCATGAGCATTTTTAACTCAGAAGTACCACTGAAGGACTTAGTTGTTCGTCCTTTTATCAAAACTTAATTTGAGCCTGAGAGGGTTTTAAATACAAGCTTCTATTTGGAGATCATATATTTCTACATCACCGCTGTAGGCACGAGCCCCCCCCCCCCCGCGCGACCCTACATGGACAAGCGGGTTCAGACAATGGATGGATATTTCTAAGTCCAGCTCCAGAGCGGTCGGTGCCTCTTCAGTCATGAACTTCCTCGCATGTCACGGCTCTGCTCCAGATCTCAGTAAACAAAAAAAAATGTGCAACCTCAACAATTTGGTGGAAGGGGACACGTAAAAGCGGATTCTATGCTAAATTCCCTGATTGTGACATCACTATCGGGATTTCTTTAAACAGCTCATTTTAGGCATTTAATTCCTAAAACCAAACAATACCGAAAAACAGATGAACACATTTGATCCTGTTTGAAGTCTTTATAGAGACAGCGGAGACCCACACCGCAGCACAAAGTGATGCAAAACATCTGATTTGTACAACTTGTCCCCGTAAAAGTTTTTCAAACCTTTTATATGTCAAACTGAACGAAGTGAAAACGTTTCATATTTTCGTCATCGGGTTTATTTCTCCGTTCCTGATGCTCAGGTTGAAACAAATTCCAGAACAAGTTTGGACGAGGACATTTCAGGTCAAGAGATCGGGTCATAGTTCGTTATAATCCTGATTGGGTCCAACGGAAGAATCCGCGAAAGGATCAGAAATGTTTGACAGAGTGAGAAAATCACTGAAGTAATTAAAAACAAAGTTCCTGGCAAATGAAAGGTTCCTCCTCGATGAAACAGAACATTTACAAAACACTGGAGGAGGTCCAGATCTTTTACCACATTCTACAGTGTACACTTAAAAAGAAGCTCTGGACAGCCCGAAAGTCATGAAGAGTGGACGGGTTCTAGACCAGAAACCCATCTAGAATTGAAGGCTTTTAAAACACCGTCACAGCTGTCTCACCCTCTCTGGTCTGAACATCCACCATCACAGGTCCAACAGCTTTGGAACCATCCTGGAACAGAGAGAGGACGTCTTCACCTTGCAGCGTGGAGTGGCGTCAGAAAGCTTAGAACCAGGTCCGTTTGCTGGTTGGTGTCATGGATCTGAGTCTTCCGAAAGTGAAATAGGGAGATCTAGAGTTGAATGATTAAGGGAATCTTTCCTGACTTTAACTCGGGGAGAAACCTTCAGACCTGAACTGGTTAAAGATCCAGAACAATGTGGAGACACCTTGTGGCACCACCTGGAAATTTATTTCTGACGCGACCCAGATGGTCCAGAACAGAACTTCACCTGGAGCAACCGCCATCAAAGGCCCTGCCGGTCTGGGAGAACCTGAAGTTCTCATACAGACCCACCAGGCATAAAACAGAGAGAGAGAGAGAGAGAGAGAGAGAGAGAGAGAGAGAGAGAGAGAGAGAGAGAGAGAGAGAGAGAGAGAGAGAGAGAGAGAAAGAGAGAGAGAGAGAGAGAGAGAGTGTGTGTGTGTGTGTGTGTGGGGGGGGGGGCTCTGCGTGTGTGTGTATGTGTGTATGTGTGGGCGTGTGTGTGTGTGTGTGCATGTGCATGATATATGCATGTGTGTGTGTGTGTGTGTGTGTAAGTGTGTGTGTGTGGGGGGGGGGGGGGGTTGTGGGTCTGTGTGTGTGTGTGTGTGTGTGTGTGTGTGTGTGTGTGTGCATATGTGAGGGTGTGCATGTGTGTGTGCGAGTGTGTGTGTGTGTGGGTGGGTGGGGTGTCTCGGTGTGCGTGTGTGTGTATGTGTGTATGTGTGGGCGTGTGTGTGTATGTGTGGGTGGGTGGGGTGTCTCGGTGTGCGTGTGTGTGTATGTGTGTATGTGTGGGCGTGTGTGTGTGTGTGTGTGTGCACATGATATATGCGTCTGTGTGTGTGTGTGGGGGGGGGGGGGGGGTCTGTGTGTGTGTGTGTGTGTGTGTGTGTGTGTGTGTGTGTGTGTGTGTGTGTGTGTGTGTGTGTGTGTGTGTGTGTGTGTGTGTGTGTGTGTGTGTGTGTGTGTGTGTGTGTGTGAACAGATTAGATGCAGCGCTGCGGTCTGTAGTCCCTCCTCCCCAGCAGCTCTCTATATATACACTAAAGGAGGAGCAGCCGACACACTCCACACCACTCCAATTGCTCCTCCTGTCAGAAGCTCAGACTCTGTGTGTGTGAGTGAAGGAGTGTGTTCAGCAGAGAGAGAGAGAACAGTAGAGAGCATTTGACTGAACCAACCTTACTAAACAGGTGGACTCTGATGATGGATGACTACTCCCTCCCCTTCTGGATCTATTTGGCTGTAGTGACTGTTATTGTAGGTGGGGCCATGAAGAAGGTCTTAACGTCTCACCTGAGCACCGGTCCCACTCTGGTGGCCTGGCTGGGGGCCACGGTTCTGGTGGAGAGGTTGTGGGCATTCTGTCTTCCAGCCCTACTCCTGCTGGCTCTGATCGGACTTGCTTTCTCCCTCTACTCATGGACCAGAACAGGCCCACCCCCCGTCACCCTGCCCACCGAGGGCAAGGCTGTCTTCATCACAGGTAAGATTGTGTGAGACACCATTGTCTGAGGCATGCTGTGTGCCATAAAACAAGGAGTGTGAACTGCTGTTGTGGAATGTGGAGGTGTGTTTACAGCTGGCTGAACGGAGGTGGAAATCTAGTGGATCCAAACGGGTCAAAAGAACAGAACCAGCTGTAGTTTGAACAGGAAATAATACAACCTGCTGATGTAAAAACCACAAACAAACTAGAGCCTGCTGCTTCCTCCAGACATGCTGAAGAGCTTGAACTTTGACCCTTTCTCCTAAAAATGCCTGTGGTCCCAGTCTGACCCTCCGGCAGGTGGGTGTGTGTGTGTTTGTATTGACCTCTGCCCCCCCATGGTGAAGGGTGGGGGGTTAAATGTTCCAGACTGTTTTGTAGTCAATGGGATAATCAGATCTGCTTATCAACATGACGCTCAACAACACCGTCTTAGTGTATCTGTACTCTGAGTAACTGTACTCTGTAATTTTACTCTACGTGCAAAAACACAGACAGTGGAAACTTTCACAAGCTGCTCCTCTCATTCTGAGTGGTAAACAAGCTCTGTTCCTACGGAGACCTACAGAGTCTCAGCTGTTGTGTTGAATCACTTACTGTCAGAGGATAAAACAATCAAAGAATGTGACCTTTGACCCTGCTGTCTCAAATACCTGTTTTTTAACCACAACTGACGTCAGCAGCAGCATGAAACTTGGTTTGCAGCTGAAGAAGAGATAGATACATCATAGGTCTTGTTTGACTGCTGCTGACAAAGAAGTTCTACCCTGAACCCTCATTAACTATTTTGTTAGGGTCCATTTGACCAGGTCCAGTACTAGCATAAGCCCTTTATCCTGGTTCAGATCCGGCTCTCAGCTCCTGAAAACAAAGGTTTGGACCCAGGGTTGAGGATGAAGGTCCAGCTAGGACTGTCTGTCAGTCCTGACCATTCAGGCAGCCCTCCTGTTGGGTCGCACAGAGTAAAAGGGATCATCGTTGAACGCAGGGGGAACATCCCAAAAACCTGACAGGAAACCTCTGCACTTTTCAGCTTCAGCAAACTACAAAGATGGCTGCTCATGGAAAAAAAGCAAAGGAGATTCAACTAAATGGACCACCAAGGCTCCCACTTTGCTCTCCTACTAAATCCATGGAGCCCCAGAGCCTTCATGATGCTCCTGCAGGTGATGGGACCTCAGAGGCTCAGCAGGGATTTCATCTTTGACTGTTGGCTCCAGTTTATCTGTCTGGTCATGAAACGCAAACAGTGCTTCCTCTTCTTCTGCTCCAGCCAGTGTGCTTCCCCCTAGTGGTCCCAAAACCTCCTGGTGGCCAGTGACCAGGTCTGAGGATCAGGCCTCATCAGGTGGCTTACAAACCTGAAGGTTTAGCTGAACAGGAGCAGCCCTAATAGGTTTGATTCTCTAATCCACCTCGGTCCGGACCAACTTTATTTATAAAGCATGTTAAAACAACCAGTCAGGTGTTTCACAGAAGAATCACTAATTACATTCTAACAGCTTTCGTGACATAAAGCAATAAAAAAAATAAAAAAATAAAACAAGATTAAAATCAAACTATCAAGAACCTGCAGTAAAGACGTTTGAAGAACGGGCAACTGAGGAATGGGGTGGAGCCTGGATCAGCTGACCTGAGGAACGGGATGGGGCCTGCCTGGCCCTGGAAGGCTTTTAAACTTCATAAATAAACAAACAACAGGTGGATAAATAAAGACTAACATGTTCATTGTGTGCCAGTTAAAAGACCTCCCTCAGACTTTTGGACCATCTGAAGATGAACGATGGAGGAACCAGTCACCTGTGTGATTGGCTGTGACAGTGATCCAGCAGTGGTCCCAAAGGCTGGATCACTGTCCCTAAAAGCTGCCTGGTTTTATCTAACAAATGCCTCAACAAGTCTGAGGAAATCCTCACTCCAGCAGAACCAACAGCCCGTCCCTGAGTTTAGAGCTCCTGTGGGGCGGCATGGGCCTGATCTACAAATAAGACCAGAGGGCAGAGAAAGGCTCGCTAACCCTCTTAGAAAGCGAATTGATTTGTTCTACAAAGAAGCACATTCCTTTCAGGATCAGGCTGATGTCACAGGGCACGCTGACCTGGCAGTTCCGCAGGCCTGCCAGCACCGGGCCGAGCCCTGGGGAGAAACAGAACTACTTGTGTCTGGGCTGAGGCTGGAGAGACCCTGGAGGTCCTGCACCGACGTAGTCTGCCACCAGGGGGACAGAGTCCCCCTATGTTCTGTTACCTGATTCCGGCCCTTTTACTGCTATGGATCCCGTAAAGGTCCAAGAAGAAAGTTCTGGTTGGGCTCCATTTATTTCCTTCTTCTTTATTCTGTTTTGTCATCTTTTCTCCTCTCCTTTATTCTCTTTTCATTTCTCTCCTTTAACTTTTATATCACTGTTTATAAAAACATGTCAAACTAAAAACCTTTAAAACACGTCCTAAAAAAAGAAACAAATGGTGAAAAAAATACCAAAAAGATCAGATATTAGATAAATGTTGAGCTGTTGATCATTTTTGTATTTAGTAATAATCTTTAACTGTGGTGCTTTTCTTTTGTATTGTTGGATTTCCTTCGATCGGTGCTGATTCGTTCAGAGTTCAGCGTTTATCTGATTGTGTTTTGCCATGTTGTGTAACGCGTTGCTCCGAATCAATGCCGTCACAGCTGAATTGTGGGTAAAATGTGTGTCTGAATGCAGAACAGAAACGTGGACGTTCTGGCAGAACCGTGGCTGTGTCCAGTACGGGAACATTGTGTTTGCTGATCTGGAATCAGCTGAAACGTTCCAATCAGCCTGAGGTTCTTTTTATAAACCAGAACAAACAGAGGCCCACTGCTGGGTCTGCATATCCAAACATCTCCTACCCAACCGGACCTGGTGGTCTGGGTTTGGTGCTGAAAACTGACCCCTCATTCATGGAGTCTTCTCTCTAGAAATTAATTAAGGTTAATTAATGAAGGAATCCAGACCTGTCCGGGATCCTCTTCTGTGTTACAGCATTCAGATTTGTTTTCCTGATCCCGACTCCAACAGAACCTCCGGGTGATCCTATTGTCCAACAGAACCTTTAGTTAATCCCGGATTCTGGCAGAAACTCCAGATGATCTTGTACGATGAACACACATAAACTGTTGTTCATTTTTATTCTTTAGATTTATGATTCGGTGAAAAACAAAACGATAAATTGAAATCTTAAATTAGTTGCCTGACTTAATTAAAGGTGAAATTCTATAAATATTTTTACAATTATTAAGAAAAAATACTCCTCAGCTATTTGAATTTGCATTTCATGTTATAGATTTAGTTTTGTTTTTGTTTTGTCTGATAAACTCATGACGCGGACACACTTGCGGCTCCCGGGTCGGTTCTGTTGTTTATCACGTCTCCAGAAGGATCTTCAGCAGAACCTCGGCTCCGGCAGTGTTTAGTTGATTTTAGGTACAAACTCAGCAGGAAACAGGAAGTTCAAAAATAACACAAAATGAAAAAAGAGTGGGATTTGTCAAACAACAGCAAATGGTATTCCATAAGTAAATAAATAAAGTGGGAAAACATACTTTTCATTTTTAATCAGACATTGTTTTTATTTTCACGTTTTGTTTTTGTTATTTATTGCTTCTATCTTCTAAATTTTCTTGATCAGAAAATGAACCAGAATGTTTTTATACATTTTTACGTGTTTGGGTCAAAATCCAGGGGAGACATTAAACCTGCTGGTGTCTCCAGCTGGTCGGCATAGGGCTCGTGATTGTGATGTCATCGCCGACGCGTCCGCCCTGTGGGAGGCGTGTCAGTCCTTGCTTGTTGCTACTGTAAACAGTGCACTCAGTCTTGTTCTTGCGGCTTAAAGAGCAAGTCACCCCCTACCAGAGTATTCCTCCACCCCCACTTCCTGTTTGAAAAATGCAACAAATGCTGTTGCCTAGCAGACCGAGAGGGCGGAGCCGCTAACAAATACACACACAGGCTCACAATGACATTGTGACATCATATGGTACCAGCTAATGTCCTAGGGTACCTCATAGCCAATAGCAATGGCAGATTTAAATTCAAATGCAGTGCCGAGTTTTTACCTGACGACGGCACAACACTGACAGTTTTAGGCAGAAAATTTAAATTTGAACTAAAATGCACTAAAGTGCAAAACTATTGACTACACGTGTCTGCAGCACGATTACACACACACTTATATAGTTTATCAGGAAAAAATAAGCTGATTTGGGGTGACTTGCTCTTTAAATTAATCTATTATTGATTTGATCGGTTATATTACACAACTCTAGTAAATCGCTGCCGTGTTGTGGGGAAACACAAGGGATCGCCAGGGGAATAAAGGTGGAAAACAAGCTAACTTTTCACAGTTTTCCTGCTTGGAGGCAAAACCACAGAGACTAAGTATTTAGCATAAGAAGGTCTCGTCGGCTCGCTTGGATCGCAGCTACAAGGCGACCAAATATCACCTTCCACACACACACACACACACACACACACACACACACACACACACACACACACAAACAGGCTACACTCACATACCGGTGAGTTAATCCGGTTGCACTGACACACAACACAACTTCTCCTGCTACACTTCTACTGTGGGATGACAATTTTGATTGTTTTACTAGAAAAACCAGCAAATGAAACATTTACCGCTCATCCGGACGGTTACGTCCGCTCACACCACAAACAAGAAAGCCGAAAATGTCCGTTATGCAGAACTACAGCGGCAACAATACGTCATCGGTGCTCTGGTCTTGGGTCTTTCTTATGGATCAAAACCATTTATAATGCTGGTTTTGTCCACATACCGGTCCCCGACGCCTTTATATAACGTATCCCTGTATATTCCACATCCTTTTGGGGATTTTATGATGTTTAACACTTTCTTTCACCCAAATCCGCTTCGTCTCTGCGACAATACCGTTTGTTTCACGGTGTGTTTACACTCGTCAGCCTTCCAACATGGCCGCACACATCCCAGAATGTTATGCATTATCACTTGTGATCACAAGCCCTGTAGCGTGAACCGGGGTCATGTGAGGTCGTTGTCCTCCAGACGAGGAGTTTAGGTTTTTATGCTTGCAAAAAAATCTTCCAGAATGTTCTGTCGGTCTCCTTGTTCTGAAGAACATTGTGAACTCCTTTTTTGGCTCGGTTTGCAAATTATTCAAAAGAAAACTTTTAATGTTTTAAATAAAAAAAAACATTAAAAACAAAACATTTGTTTTGAACTGATTTAGTGAGACGAAATCAAGTCTTATCAGGTCCAGGTCCAGGTCTGGATGTGAGTCCGAAGTGCTATTATCCTTTAATGACCCCAGGAAGTCTACAAGAACCTAAAACTCACAGAACACGTCCAAAGTCTTGTGATATGTTGTAGAGAGAGGACTCCTGACAAATTATCCAGTCCTTATTGGACCTTGAAGGACCCTCGCACTTTTGGACCTCGATCAGCTCTGACCGACTGGACCCAGCTTCCCCACAGAATCCCAAAAATATTCATCAACAAAGATTCATGAATCCTTAAGACGTTAGAAACGGGAGGCACCTTTAGGACCTCTAACAATTCACCCGTGAGTTAGAATCCTGTCTGGGTTCTGCTGTTCTGAGCACCCCCCAGGAGTGGTGCTGCAGATGTTTGCAGACCTTCACTCAGACCCAGATATTTTTTGGACCTTGGACATGTCTCAGGGCTCATCTGTCTTTACTCAGAACAATATTTACATCACCCCCGGCCCCTCGGAGCCTTGGCCTTCTTACGCAACGGTTCTCCTCCTCAGGGTCCAATACCAGCAACGCCAAACCTGGGTTCTGTTCAGCATACAGGGACCAGAACCAGATGAATGTCATTGATCTGATTCCATGTTTCCTTTGATCATAATGAAAATCAAATCAGAGGATTAGAAGTTTTTGATCAAAGGAAGAAAAAAAGTCACAAAACCTTTATTTTGAAGGTGCTTTAATTGTGAAAAGTAAAGGATAAAACTAAGAAGTTGCTTGATTTATTTTAAAAGCTGAAACTACTCATTTGATGTGAAGTGAAAAACATTTGATTCAACAGCTGATTTAACGTTGATCCAGATGTATGAAGTGAGGTAGGACCACGTGACCCGACATTTCTGCTTTAAAGGTTCGGGTGTGTGGCGGCTCAGGTTAAACCTGAACCACCAGGCACATCAGGTCGTTTCTGAGAACACGTGTGCGGTAAGGACTCAGGTGTTTCTCTGGTATTCACTTCACTCAGCAGCTGGAAATCCTCCAAGGACTGGAGCAGCGTTCCAACACCTCCACAGGTACCAGGGACAACTAGAACACTCAGCTCTGCTGCGGATCAGGTTCTCGAATCCCAGAACACGTGACAGATCTTCTCGGCCCCTCTGGGGGAAAAACACACGCGGGTGAGAGAATTCACAGCTCAGACACACGGGCCCTCCTGAGGGACAAATCCCGGGTTCTGGTCCATCTGAATCTGTTCTGCCCAATTATTAAACCATAAGTCAGCTTCTATGTCCTGTTTCACTAAGCTTGGATCAGGATTCTGACCTGGTCTGGTTTATTCTGAGTCTGATGAGTTCTGGTCAGTCTGAGACTGGTTTTACTGATCATCATTGTTATTCATCACCTGTTCCTGCAGCTTCAGTTTTACATTTTGCTACTGAGTTTGACTCCAGATTTATTGTTTGTCCTCCTGCAGGATGTGATTCTGGTTTTGGGAACGCAGCGGTGAAACGTTTGGACTCTCTGGGCTTCGATGTGTTCGCCACCGTGATGGACCTGACGGGGCACGGGGCCAGAGATCTGCAGAGAACCTGCTCACCTCATCTCACCCTCATGCAGGTGGACATCACCCAACCCCAGCAGGTGCAGCAGGCGCTGCTGGACACCAGTGCCAAGCTGGGTCACAGAGGTGAGGACCAGGAATCAGGTCCAGCAGAAGCATCAAACCCCCAACCGTAACCTCCCTGATCAAATCAGAGCCAGCAGAACTGTTGGTGGACCTTTAATCTGTTTGTTCCCAGCAGCCTGTTGAATATGTAGAGAAATCATGGAGATGTATCCCATTGGTATTTGATTTGTACAAACAGCGAGGCAGTGTTGTTCTGGTTCTGGTTCTGATTCCATTCCAAACGTTTCAGAGTGAAAATAGAGCAAAGTTCATCCCGTAGCCTTCTAGGGAACCTGAAACACACAGATAACTGTTCTGGGACCAGTTTCAGAGTCGGGATGGGCTGAGGGAGGTGTGTGTATGTGTGAGTAGAGGGGTCTCCTGTTTCTGTCTCCAGGGACTCTGTGATTGGCTCAGATCTGTAGCTCCCACTGGCTTCATAATTACAGAGCTCAAAGTTCTGGCTGCACCTCGCGGTCATTCAGGGATACACAGTTGGTGTGTGTGTTTGTGTAGGAGAGTGTGTGGAGCATTTTTTTTTATCCCTCTCATTGTGCAGAGACATAAATCAGCCTCAGAGTGGCATTGCGGCGACTTTTCTCACTTCTGGGGACAAAGATCAGGAGTCTTCCTCACATGACTCATTAAAGTTTAACACAACGGGGTTTGAGGTTGTGTGAAGTTTCCTGGAAAATCCAGGAAGTATTCAGACCTCCTGCACTTAGCGAAAAAAATGTTTATGGAACACTGTGAACTTCTGTTTTATCCCTCAGTTACAGAAGTATTCAGAATCTTTGTTGAGGCTGCAGAATGTGGTCTGCTGTGTCCTCAAACGTTCTCAAGATGTCTTTCCAAGCTGTTCAGACACGCTCCAGTTTGGATGAAGTCTGACCTCAGAAGAAGCGTTGAGAGAAAACCTTCATGGGTTAAAACAGTTTATTGGTCCTTCTCAGGTCCAAAAGGAAGCTCTGTTGCAATCAGATGAAGAACTACCTGTACGGTGTCCCTGCCGATCATTTTGGGAGAGGTCAAAGGTCATTTCCGAACTATCAAGAGTCTGTAAAACGTAAAAACATGTGGACATCTTCTGACACCGAGTTCACCCAGAGGTCAATGCTTAAGGGAATGACAAGACCCAATTGACCCTTTGCACCGACGTCACCTAATCACGTGGGTCCACCATGCTGGACGGCAAAAGCATGTAAACAGTGAGCGACACGAGCACTAAACAAAGTTAAAAGTAGAGCCTGAAATTGTTTTTGTGATCAAAACAAAAAGAAAACTCCTCCAGCATTCCTTCAACTAGTTCATGCTCAGTTCAGTTATCAGAAGAAGTAGCGCATCTAGCGGTACGTTAACTAGCTTACCAACGTTAGCTTACGTTCTCTCTGCAGCTGTTCACCGATGTAAACATGTTGCTGACTTTGTCTAAATTCACCCCGCTGGATTTATAACTTTATGTTGTAAACAGAGTTTCACTTTACACCAAAGCTGATGTTTAAAAAGTCCAGATTCCTACCAGCTTCTGTTGCTGGTGGTGTTACCGGGTCCAGCTGCTGCTCTCACACCGGAATGAGAAGATCTCTGAACGCCGACGCTCATATAAATAAATAAATAACGTAATTTTAACACACGTAACCATACATCGGAGCTTTAATATTGTTAATAATTGTCTCGCTTTACACTACAGTGGACGGAGCGCAGCCTCTGTGGTGAAATACCCATCCATCAGGATTATCACTGACTACGTTTACATGCAGCCAATATCCGGGTTAAGGTCGGTAATCGGGTTTCTGAGTTGATCAGAATGACCCGTTTACAAGCATAAATAGAAAGAGTTACCCCTAACTTGCATAACCCGATTTAAATGCGGACATGGGGGTAGCGTCAGGACGTATGGACTACGTCAAGACGCAATATGTGTCATATTTCGCTGTCTCTGTACTTTCGGCCGTCAACAAAAGACATAATGTTCATACTTTTCACCAGACCGATGAAGACAGAGGTTTCCTCGTCACTCCAAAAGTGTGGTGCTGTGCCGCGACTCGCCATGTTGCTCCCAACTTGTTTACTTCCGGTGTTCTGGCGCATACAAGACGTCTCGCTACTCAAAAGACCAAGATTCCTTGCGAACAGAGCATGCGCAGAACACACGCTTTGATGGGGATATCCCGATATGCGTTTACACGACCAAACATTCGGGTTAGAAAAGGGTTACCCCAGGTGTAGTAACCGGATTTTTTAAAACCCGGTTATGAGCATATCCGGGTTTTTGGCGGTGTTTACAAGGACCTGCGGAACCGGGTTAATGTGAATATTCGGGTTTTAAAAGGGTTACTGGCTGCATGTAAACACACTGAATAACTAGTATAAATACATCACATTTATCCCTGTCTTCCTCGTGAAATAAGTTAACGTCAATCTTACCCGGTAAAAACATGCTCGCTGAAAATCTGAGGCCTGCTAGTCCGCTTGATTGATCGCTGCAGTTCATCTCCGTCCTCAGTCTCCATCAAAGTCATTAAAAAGAAAAAACGAGCTGAGTTTACGTCCTTGTCTCTTAGTGCAGCCGACCACGCAGCAAGGTAAAACCATTTTACTGTCAAATCAACTAAATAAAAGCAATAAAAGGCTACAAACTGGCTTGTTTTGACTACCTTCACTGGAGTTTTTACGGGTGTAAACGATCTTTCTGCCGTCCATCATGGCGAAGGGGGTGGTCACATGAGTGGCGTGACGTCACGTGCAATAGCTCTGTCTCACACTCCCAAATTCCTTACAAGGTTAAAGGTCACAATAGAACAAAAGGGGCTCAGGTATAGGGGGGTTTCAGGTGAAAAGACTTTCTGATTCTGGTTTGGAAGGCCAAAACCCATTTATCGCTCAGAACCATTATTAACAAGAAAGTTTTAAAACAAACTATGATAAAGAATCTTATTCTGAAATTCTGGAACATTTCTAATGTGAATAAGCACCTAATCATGATGCCCTAAACTTCTGATCTGTCCAACACCGATCAAACTGATCCTAACAAATATTGATTTTAGCTCATCCCAGCTGTCAGCACGGTGGCGAAGGTTCGATGGTTTGGGCTGGTTTTTCAGAGGACTGGCTAAGTTCACCAACAACTCCCTGTGGATACCAAATTCTTCTAGAATTTAATGAGACCATCTGCCTAAGGACCCAGTTGAGACCTTTTAGAACCCAGCCAAGACCCACTTAGGACCTGGCAGGGACCTGCGAGGACCTCAACCATAAAACACCCATAGAGTTTTGCCATGGTCTACTGCTGTTGGCTGCCAAGGACAGCTCCTCCTCCTTGTATGCATGTGTGTGTGTGTGTGTGTGTGTGTGTGTGTGTGTGTGTGTGTGTACATGTGTGTGTGCACGTGCATGGTGTGGGGGTATTCACCTTCAACTTGATGTAAACTTTAGCAGAGAAAAGCCACCTGGTGGGCCTCAGTTCTGTGTTTACGCGCTATTTCAGGGTTATCAGTCATCAGCTCTAACCTAAACACAGATCTCAGAGCAGCCCCAAAACAAAGCCTGGAATTCTGGGTCATTCACCTCAGACGGGGGCGAGCGAAGCTTGTTTGCACTAGCTCACAGGAGAGGGAGGTGTAACCTTGGGCTAGACCCCAGCAGAGTATTGGCGATCTGATTACAGTCTTATCTGCACAGAGCGACACAGTAGATGTTACGTAAACCCTCTGAGAGGTTCAGCAGGTTTCCACATGTGGAGTCAAACATAAATCTGCAGATGCAGACCAGCGCTGACAGTTCTCACACAGAAACATCTCCGCAGATTCAGCCCTGGTGGTGGGGGGGGGGGGGGGGGGGGGGGGGGGGGAGGGTGCTGTATGAAAAAGCACCTCAGACCTCTGGCTGCTAGCCAGCAGTATCAGAATGGTTCACTTGTAAGCATACATAAAAGTCAACAGAACATCTTCACTTTGAAAATAATTTAAACATGTCAGATTATCCAGACTGTGGATGGGGGTCTTCTCAGGAATGTTCCTCTGTAGATGTTTATGTGAAACTCTTGCCCCCTAGTGGAGGAGTGCAGGTACCTGAGAGATCATGTCAGAATAAAGTGGATGAAGATATAATCAGGAACAGGCTAAAGAGCTTTAAGATCTTTTGAGTGGTGAAGACAATATGTTGGTGTGATGGACTACATGTGATGTTGACAGCACTCTGACCTGTGTGTGTGTGTGTGTAGGTCTGTGGGGTTTGGTTAACAACGCTGGAGTGTGTGTGAACTTTGGCGATGCAGAGCTGTCACTGATGTCCACCTTCCGAGGCTGCATGGAGGTGAACTTCTTTGGCACGCTGAGTGTCACCAAGAGCTTCCTGCCACTTGTGCGACAAGCCAAAGGTCGCATTCTCACCATCTCCAGTCCGGCAGGTATGATCCACATGTCACCAGAAACACATGAGTGAGTGAGAGAGAGAGAGAGAGAAAGAGAGAGAGAGAGAGAGAGAGAGAGAGAGAGAGAGAGAGAGAGAGAGAGAGAGAGAGAGAGAGAGAGAGAGAGAGAGAGAGAGAGAGAGAGATCTTAACCAACTGATTCTGAACTGTCCACCTGCCAAAGCAAACAATCTACTGTTGGGCCAAATAGAAACTAGGAGATCCGCCAAAACAAATCAAGCCTGGAACTGATCCAGTTCAGACTTCCCCGTTCTTCCTGCCTGGTCTTTCTTTTGTATGATGAGCCAGAGTCAGGTTGACACAGAACTGGTCAGAATCATTTACCAGGAAGTTTGATGAAAAATGACCCCATGGTGTCTCAGAGACTGACTCTTGGTAACATCCTAAAGACTCAGTGGTCTCCAGTCGACCCACCAACCTGGTGCGAACACCAGAACCACTGATGCCACAGAGAAACACAAAAGGCAGCTGCTCATCAGCTGTTGCAGTTTCTGTCAGTGGCGGCTCCAGAAATGTTTTCTGCAGGTGCAATGAAGGAGCTAGTCTTTTTATTGAGGGTGCTATGAAGAAAGTGGTCATGCGTACCTATTGTTCTCTAAAACACCTTCAACACTAGCAGATACACATGCGTGCACAAAACCTCAACAACACCTGAAACAATCAGTAATATACATCATAAACATGTGAACAATCGCTGACTTTTCCATGAAATCATTAACACATACAGCCACACAGAAAACCATCTATAGTGTTGCAAGGTTAGCTAACGTTAGCGTTAGCATTTCCATCGGCAAAACCCTCGACTGCTGCGACAGTTGAGGGTTGACTCTCTTCATCCAGATCCGTAGGTTTTTGTGGGTCTGAGATCACTTCCAAAGATTCATTGGTTTCTGACTGAACCTTGGAAATGTGGGCAACAAAAACGATCCATTTTACCAATAGCTCCTTCACAGGTGGAAAATGAGGTCAAAGGTTAACATCAATTTCCTGTTTCGGTTTAAGTTTTACTTTTTTATATGATAATTTACTGATTATTTTTGTTTTGTATGTTAAATTTATTTTATTTTATTTATTTATTTGTTTTTACCGTGTCCTGTCTGGCTGTGAAGCAAACAGAATTGATGTCTGAATGCTGGTGACAAGCCTTACAGATTTACTCTCAGGTGGAGCATCAAAGCGTCTGCTTTTAATGTCACGCCTGATACTTAAAACTTTATTGTTATTGTTTTTGAATGCTTTGTAATTCCGACCAGACACGGAGACAGAGGTGAAAGAGAAAGGAAAAGAAAAGGTGGGGAGAGAGAGGGGGGGGGGGGGGGGGGGTCCACAAAAATAAACAATAATGAACAAGAGTCTGCTTCTAGACCTGCAGAAAAAGACAAAAAAAAAGCAAAAGGGCAAAAAAAAGGGACACAACAACAATACAACAAGATCAAGCTATCACTGCATCAACTTGATGAAGAAATATATAATCAGCATTGCTTAACTGAAGAATCACGATAATAAATCACAGTGCATTAAGTGCCCACCATAGTCTTAAGACCTGTGTTGAACGTGCCCAAGCCCATACTTTTGAGATCACCATGTGAGCACCTGTGTGTGTACACGCACTTGTTTATGTAAGGTTTATCTATAGGAGCGTCCAATGGAGAGTGTGAGGGACCACAGATCCGCCCCCCAAAGATGCGCAGGAGACGTTAAATTAAAAATAAATTAAAATAAATTGTAAAAAAAAATAATAAACCTAATATTTACTTGAGGGTGCAATGACCAATCCAGGGGTAGCTGTACCGCCCCCTAGCGCCGCCACTGGTTTCTGTGATTTGAGTGGCATTCAACCTGTATTGTGATTGGCTGGTTTGAGTATGATGTCACCATGGTGTTGCTGCACTTGTGTTTCAGGTGACCAGCCGTTCCCATGCCTGGCAGCATACGGAGCATCTAAAGCAGCACTCAACCTTTTCACCAACACTCTGAGACATGAGCTGGAGCCGTGGGGGGTCCACGTGTCCACTATCCTACCATCCTCCTTCAAGACAGGTAAACCCCGCCCTCGAACCACGCTGCCTCATCTGTACAGAAACAACACAGTAAAGAGTGCAGGATCTCCCCCTGCTGGCCACAATCAGTACTATACCACCTATTTCTGCTAACAACACAAAACAAGCTTTGAGAAAATTAAAAATGATTAAAAGTCAGAGAGAGGAGAGACATCGTAGAGCGGTTTGGGATTTAAAACAGTGTCCTGTCCTTGGGGTCACATGGTCTGGTGGTAAAGACGTTCCACAAGTTACTGTATCTCAGATCAGACTCCTGACCAGTCTTCTGTGGTTTCACCTCACGATCTGCATGAAGACAGCTAGAACACACATGTGAAATTCACACTCTGTTTAGTGTGTTTGAATCTAAATAAACTTTAGTCAGTGAGCAATGGGCTTTCAGAAATGAGTAAACATGCATTAACATGCAATAAAACGTTTGTCTGCATTATTTAATCAATGTGTCGAGACGATCATGCACAACATTTTTCAGCCCCATTAAAAACCCTAAAATGTACAGAGTTCACATTTTGAAGAGACTGCTACAAGTGTGATGTCGGTTGCCATGGTAACACTGAGCTTTGCCAACCTAAGGTCACTCCAGTAACCACGTCTACTGGGAGCAGCAGCACAAGCAGGTGCTGAAGAGCCTGTCTCCCTCTCTGCTCGAGGAGTACGGCGAAGACTACATGACAGAGACCAAGGACTTGTTCCAGAGCTTCGCCAAGCAGGCCAACCCGGACCTGAGCCCGGTCATCAACACCATCGTCGAGGCCCTGCTGGCGCCACAGCCACAGGCGCGCTACTACGCCGGCCCTGGAGTTGGCCTCATGTACTTCATTCACAGCTACCTCCCCTTCAGCATCAGCAACCGCTTCCTGCAGAAACTGTTCCTGAAAAAGAAGCTGATGCCACTGGCCCTGAGGAAGCAATCGGGTCTAGACCTGGACCCGCCTGACCTTCTCAACAACAACAACAACAACAACAACAATGAGAAGTAGCAGCAGCTGGGAAGAACAGACTGTAGACCTGCAGATAGAGAACCACTTCACTCAGACACCTTTACTGTCCTGTTTGTTCTGTAAGTGTCAGGTCTCACCTGGAGATCAGGGGGAGGAGCTTAGAGGTAGGGAAACAGCCACAGGTACCAGGTGTGCTGCTCAAACACACTTGACTTCATGTGCCTTTATCACACAGAGCTGAAAGACTCACAGCAGCTTCTCATGCCAGATGGTTCAAATGTCTGCTGACAGGAAATCCTCTGACTCACCGTTCAGTCCAAATAAACCTCCACCAGGTCAACACAGAACCAGGACTCAGGATGGGCTCTGATCCAGGACCACAGAACCCTTGTCTGTCCAGAGAAACATTCAATCCATCAGAACTATGAACCAAAAAAGGTCTCCAGCCTGATATGTTTCTCTGCTATAGGTTCAGGGTGTGTGTCCAGTACAGTCCAGAGCTAGATTCAGGAGCTTTTAGCTTTTAAATTGTTTTAGTTTGTGAGTTGTCTAATGATGTCATCAACCAGCTGATGATCAACTGAATTTTCTCTCCTTGTGAATATGTGACATTTTAAACCTCCTCTCGACTGGGCTGTCCAGAGCCCAGGAACAAGCTGCTGCAGATCCACCCATCTGCTCTCTGGCACACCTGTGCTCTACAGGTGTTTCTACTGCACAGCAGGAAGCACAGAAAACAATCATTTCAAAATTAAAGCACACATTGTTTAATGTGATATGCTCGTTTTGAACTTTCAAAACTAAAAGGTTAACCTTATCAATTTGTTGTCAGATGAAACGTTAATTATGATGGGCTTCCTGTTTAGACCAACCTACAAAATAAAAGTACCAAAATGTGAACTGCTGCTACGTCACAGATAATTTAGCTGAAGTTTGAGACATTTAAATATGAGTTAGTTACTGAAGTAGTAACATATTTCTACACACAGAAGGCATGTGTTTGTGTGAATAAATAGAAATAATTCGTCTTCATGAATTTATTTCAATTCATTTATTCTTATTATGGTTTTGATTCAGTCAAACTGTGTTTTTGTGTGAAACAAGTAAAACTAAAAGTCTCAGTGTGACGAATCATTCAAATGTTAAAACTGTTTTTTTATATATTGCATTATATGTGAATTAAAACCGAGAACTTGGAGTTGATTTTCCAGCTGAATTTGACAAACTTAAAGTGTAAAATCTTTCTTCCATCATTTTATAGAGCAGGCCTCAGATGATGTAGCAGCTGAAGTGTGTGTGTGTGTGTGTGTGTGTGTGTGTGTGTGTGTGTGTGTGTGTGTGTGTGTAACTGAGGTCTATAGAAATGTCTGTTTCAGTTTGATATCTGAATCAAACTTTTTATGCCATATTTTTTCCTTTTATCACCTAAACTGTGAATTTTGTATAAAAGTTGTCACAAAACATTTAAATGTCACTTTGTTCAAAGTTTGATAGAAATAAAGTTGAAATTTTCATACTTTGTCCCTTTTATAAATTGAAGTCCAACTTTTGGATCACATGTTAATGTGTTTTTTATAGTTTGTAGTTTTATTTGATTATGAATAAGAGATCAGGAGGAATTGTTCCTCAGCACAAAGGATCAAGAGCTGGCACTGTTCGTCCTCCATACACCTCGTTGAGGGACCAGCAATGTCGACCAATAAGAAAGGACTTGACCGGTTACTATGGAAACGGCGTACCGTCTGAGTAACGGATGGGAACTGACTGCTGGAGTGCCGCTAAGCTAACAGGGTAGCCTCAGAGCCAGAAGTAGCTTTTAAATATTTTAAAACACATCCGACGGAAGCGCTTCCGTTAAAATATTTGGTTCCCCGGTAGCGGTCGGCTCACTGAAACCACCGTTAGCATTGTAGCACCGTGTCCGGTTAGCGGCTGTGAGTTAGCGCGCTAGTCGAACCAACACGGCGCTTCAGTGTGGGACAAGATTAAACACCCGCACTAGCACGCTCAGATCCGGTGTGTAATTATCTAACAGCACCTCGGTCCTCCAAGGGCCATCCGAGTCGCGGCAGAGCTTCTACCCTGCTGCGATCAGGACCGGCGATGGGATGATGAGCGGTGGGCCGAACCACATCACGAGTCCTGTTACTCCCAGCTAACCAGGTGGGCAGCCCAGCAGATTCACTGGAACCCGTCCAGGTCGAAATGAGACTTAAAACCGCACGAGAATCTGTGATGCATTGTGTTTAAGTGGACTTCAGTAGATGATTGGTAATCAGCTGATAGGTCAATCATCAGGATTTTTAAAGAGCCTCATCAGACGATTTAAGATAAACTAATACAGAAAACTGGTTCAGTTAATGGAAAACAAAATGACAAATGTGAGAATGTGTTCTGTGAGACTTGGAGGAAAGGAAAAAGTGCTAACAACTGCATTTATATATTAACTGTTTTAATTATAATTTAGCAACACTTAAAGCAGATGGAATGACAATAAACCTAGGAGGGCGTTCTTAGCCCAAACAGAACAGGCAGTTTCCCTCTGCAGAGAAATTAGAAACGTAAAAAAATTGGTTTCTAAAAAAATATAGAAATGTTATTTTCTGTAGCAATACACACAAACTAAATCAGTAAATAAATAGGATAAAAAAACTAGTACCAATGAGCTGGTTAAACAAGTTTACTAATTATATGTTCTCTTTCTGTCTGACTTAAAAGGGACAAGAAAGTCCTTGAACACAGGTGGGTTTCACCTCTATTAGTTGGTAGTTCCTGATGATGTTCTAATGGTTCCTGCGGATCATCTGGTGGTTCTGGAACATGGATGGAGACCCAGCTGATTGGTCCAGAGCTGCTGTTGTTTCTGCTGGGTTTAGAAGGAAGCTGTTCTTAATCCAGCCCGCAGCAAAGACCACATCATCATCATCTGTCTGCTCCCTCTGTGTGCAGGATGGATGTGTGCGGTAGGAACCCAAACCGCACTGCACCGGTCAGCGAGGGCGATCCCGGGCGAACCGATGTCCCTCTGTGCTCTCGGACCAATGGCTGGAGCTGGCCCCCCCACCCTTTCCAGCTGCTGGCTTGGCTGCTCTACGTCTTTTTCGCCGTCACCGGCTTTGGCGTGTTTGTCCCTCTGCTCCCGACACATTGGATTCCTGCAGGTTACATTGTATCCTTCCAGTGCACCTGCCCTTCACTTCCTGTCAGAGGCAGAGGTCAGTGAAAGGTCAAATATCAGCCCGCTTCTGTCTGAACACACGGGATCAGATTTGAGTTAGGAAGAAAACTTTCACTTTTATTCCTTCTGGCTAAAATCTGCCCTGAAGTCAGATCAGAACGTTAATAGATAAATGATTAATTTTATCTTCTATTGATGATATTGTTCTAATTTCCTGAACAGCTTCTGGTAAGAGAAATAGTTCATTCCCTTGAGAATTGATGGGCTAACAGCTAGTCTTGGCTAACAATTAATTGAACTAATTATCTGATTATTTCCAAGTGTTGATCTCATCAGCAGCTCAGTCTAGTTCAGGGGTGCCCAGTCCTGGTCCTGGAGGGCCGGTATCCAGCAGGATTTAGTTTTAACTCTGCTTCAGCACACCTGATTTCAATCAGCAGGCGATTAACAGTCTTCTGCAGAGCCTGATGAGCCACTGCACAGGAGATTCAACCACTGAATCTACTGCGTTGGAGCAGAGAAACCTCAAAACCTGCTGGATACTGGCCCTCAGGAACCGGGATTGGGCACCCCTGGTCTAGTTTCTCATTCAGTGGTTTTGTCCAACAGGAAGTTCTCAATATTTCTGCTTAAAGGAACTTTACGGCGTTTTGAATTTCTATGCTCGCGATTGCCCCCTCAGGCCAAAAGCGTAACGGCAGCTTCAATAGTAGGCTCGTGCACGAGGCGCGCATGCTGTACGTGCACACTCCTTAACGAAAATAACAGCTGAGACAGTCCCTTGTGTGTGTGTGTGTGTGTGTGTGTGTGTGTGTGTGTGTGTGTGTGTGTATGTGGCCAGAGGACAGAGGACAGGAGAACACACAGCTAATTAATTAAATAATGTGGTTCTGTACCTTTCTCTTCAGCACAGCCGACAAAGGTTTATGATGGGTCAGTCCTCCTGCATGCTCAGATCATTCCCTTCCCTTGCTTGAAAAACTGTTCCACAATGAAAGTTGAACCCACATCGTTTTTATCTGTGAATTCAATGCCGTTCGGCGAGTCTCAAATAAAAATGTGGGCATCTTACTGTAAAAAAATATACCATTAATGTAAAAAAGAAACTCTAAATAAACTATGTTCACATCCAGAAACAAACCCAGGTCTTCTGCATGGGAGTCAGACATCTTACAAGGTGAGCTACACACCAGTAACATTCACAGTATCTGTAACTTTTATATCCTTGATGACACCTGAAACAACGTCAAACCAAAGAACGGTTCGGAGCAAAAATGGCTGTTTTGTTGCTAATTTGCAGGAAATATCTAGAAGAAAGTTCTAAAGAAAGTAGCTAAGGGTCCTCAGAAATGTAGCTAGCTTTGTCACTAGGCGTTAGGAACAGCGACAAAGTGGCACTGCCTCTCTCTCTGCTGATAAAGCTACTGATAGCAAATGCTACGGGTTATGCCTGAGCGTGAACGCGCATGAAGCAGCCTGCTCGACCCGAGCATCTCTCTTTTTCTTTGATTTTACAGAAAAACAGGCAATCACAGTAAAAATGCCAGGGCTCATTCTACAGGACCAGGGCATTGCAGGAGAACGTATGAAGAAGACATTTATTATTTCTATACATGTTATGGCTGTCAAACTTCCATAATGCCCCTTTAAATGAAGTTAAAGTCCAATTAACCAGATAAATCCAATGGCTGCCAAACTGTTTGTAGGATAACGTCACATTAATTGCTGGATAATTTGGAAGATTGGAACTGATTAAGATCGAGAGCAACACACATTGGATTGTTGCACCCGTATCTATAAGCTCATACTAGCCGTTAGCTTAGCTAAATCTTCTCTGAAGAACAACAACATGCTCCATGTTTTAGAACATACAAAATCCTGACACAGACACGGCGAGGAGGTCCCTTATGATGTTTGTCATTCCTGAATTGGATGTCAGTGCACGGGCATCACGTTTGTGTGCCACCTGTGTGTCCACGTCCTCGCTGTGTCCATCAACCCGGCCGACCGCAGCGTGAGGATGAAGAGTGACAGAAGTCCGGTCCCTGTGTTCGACCGCTCCAAACATGCACATGTCATCGAGAACTGCCACTGCTACCTGTGCCAGGTGGACGTGTGAGTACACACATGGCGGGTGGGGGGTAGGATGCTAATAATCCGGCTTGCCCATGCAATGCATCTTGGGAGTTGCAGGTTTTTAATGAGCAGTTGCTTTGTTACCTGAAGCCCCGCAGGTGGAGCTGAGCATGCTGACATGTCCCTGTTTTTCTAGGGGACCAAAGTCAAAGCACTGCAGCGCCTGCAACAAGTGTGTTGCCAACTTCGACCACCACTGTCGCTGGCTCAACAACTGTGTGGGGAGCAGAAACTACAGGTGTGTGTGTGTGTGTGTGTGTGTGTAAGATAATAACACTGCAGCTTCTGAAGGATTCTATAAGGTCCTTCTCAGCTCCACGAGTCAAACAACGGCTGCAGGGTGAGTAAAAGTGGGACCAGGGGGCGGGTCTTGTCGTCTGGTCCACGTAGCTCAAAGGAAACCTGACCTGATCTTGGTGAGGGTTTGGGGTTGGTGAGAAGATGTCCTTTCTGGTTTTTGAGGATGATGTCCTGTTAGTGCCGCCATAACACGACATTACAACCTGGTTCTGACTTTAGCCTCCATCCAGATTCCTAGTCTCATAAACAAAATCAAGTTCTGCTCTGTCTGAGGAACATTTACCAGTTCAACGTCTGTCTGCAGTTCTGTCTGTAACAAGGACCAGTTCAGCTCAGACAGAGGCAGAAGGGGCAAGTGACTGATCCGGCCTTTATGTGTGTAGTAGCGTGTCTACTCACTGGTCCTGTTTATCCTGCAGGTTCTTCCTCTACAGCGTGGTTTCGGCACTGTTGGGGGTTGGTCTGGTTCTGGTCTTCGCCTCTTACGTTTTTGTTGCGTTTTTTGTGGATCCATCCAAACTCCGCACAGACAAACATTTTCTAGGTAAGACCTCTGATCCCAGAACAGCAAAACAACTGGTTATAAAGAATGAGACAGGTGCCTGTTTGTGTTCACAGTGGGGAATGAGACAGGTGTGTGGTTCGTCTTCCTTCCCGTGGCTCCTCTCAGGTCAGCCGCAGCTGTAATTCCGGGTCTTGCTGCCGTCACCGTTGCTCTGGGTCTGCTGTCCTCGGCGCTGCTCTGCCATCTGCTCTGCTTCCACATTTACCTGAGTAAGAGACCACTCACCTGTCTTTCTCTTCCATACGTGACATCGTAGTTTTAATCCTCAGTCCACCTGTCGTTGACCTCACCTGCAGCCATCAGGCTACCAGCTGCTTATCTGGCTGTCCTTCCTGTTGGGGGACAGAGATATAATATATATATATATTTATAGAGTGTGTGTGTGTGTGTGTGTGTGTGTGTGTGTGTGTGTGTGTGTGTGTGTGTGTGTGTTTGTGTGCAGTGTGGAATCGACTCAGCACCTTTGAGTACATTGTGCGGCAGCGCCACCGTCTGGACAGCAGAGACTTGAGGAAAGCAGAACTGGTGAAGGAGGCTGGACCTCCCGCGGTCATCAAGGTGAGTGAGAGTGTTCTCTGGGGGGTGGGTGGTGGTGGTGGTGGTGGGGGGGGGGGTCTGCATTGGTATTTTGCGGTTCCGAGCATTAGTTGTCTGTCGTGACTCGACAGGAGGCGGACTACTCAGGGACTGTGGGTTGCACAAACCCCCAGCTGGACGTGGAGCAGCCGACTACCGCGGCTGTGCAGAGCGACTCAGAGTAAGTCCTGTCTCTCCTCCGGTTCTCATTCTGCTGTAGGTCATGGGCCTCGTTTATCAAGCTTACGTACACACAGACAGGGTCTGACATCTGTTTAAGCAACTTTCTTCACAAACTTTGTGACCCATATAAAATGTGACATGAAAATGTGAGCAACGGTAAACAAACTCTGACCCTGGCATAAGCACATCTGGGAGACGGGGAAACCGCAGCGCAGCACGTGAGATTGTAACATGGTAAATTTGAGCTACATTACAGACTTGGAGACACACACACACACACACACACACACACACACACACACACACGCACGCACGCACGCACGCACGCACGCACACACACACACACACACACACAAACTGATTTGTGAGGTACAACAACACATGACATTTCCTGCCTAAAACCCCTTTAGGTTACATTAAATGCTATCCTTAGATGAGGAACATCCGTCATCGCTGAGCACCGTCATGCAGCCGTTTTAGATGGAATCTGTGGTTAATACGATGTTCCTCTTTGCCTTCACCTGCAGATCTGACCACTTCTTTACGTCCACCACAGATCTCTCTGACACACCCAGCTCACTGCTGCAGAAGCGATGTGCTGCTGGAAGGCAATAGAACAATTTCCATGCCTCTACCTCACCCACAAGTACCTTGATTTGTGTCTGAATGAAACTGCGGTTTGTGGACCTCTGGGTTTCCATGGGTACCCGTGAAATGCAGCTGATCACCAGAGAATTCACAAAGTGCTTTACTTTGACCATTTATGGCAAAAAAGTGTGTGTAGGACGTGGGATATGATCCAAAAACTCAGGAGCACATTTTGAGTACCTTTTTTTGTTTTATTAAGGATTCTACGCAGAGTTTAATAAATGAGGCCTGTAGTCTAGTTCCTGGTCTGACCAACCGGGTCTTGGCAGGTCTCAATAAACAGCTGGCAGCAGTCATTTCATACCACAAAGAGGCTGGACCGCGTCGCCATAGAGACGCTTTCTTTGCAGAAAACTGTGTACAAAATTCTTTGGCTGTGACTTTCAGGAATCAAATGGTGTGTGTGTGTGTGTGAGTGCGCGCGTGAGTGTGTGTGTGTGAGGAACAGAAGGCTATTATAAATAGCTATCTTCACTGTTACTGTTTTCCCCGAACCTCGTCTGTCAGGATGCAACAGAAACAAAAGACTGAACACGGAGAAGTTCGTTTCTGACCTGGTGAACACTACTGTCAATGTGATGACACACGAGACCTTTAGGATCAGGGTTTAGCAGGGCTCAGTAGAAGTTAGAAGGTAGGCTTAGAGTTGCTCCACAGGGATCAGAACCTGAGACCGTCACTCAGATGGGATGTCACCAAAAAAGGAGGCATTTCATCGAATCACCACTGATGCAGAGTCCTCCTGACCTCCTGGTGTTTACACCATGGTGGAGCAGTCTGCAGGCTGGGTGGGTTCACCTGTTGGGTCGCAGATCAGGTCTCACCTGCTTACACACACCTGTGTGTTTCAGGTTCCTGGCTAATGGCAGAGTACGGAGTGTGTCCAGTCCTGTGAGGGAGGAGGCTGCTCCCACTGTTTCTACTGGGATGAAAACAACAGCACACACACATCGTCACCCACAGGTGAACACACACACACACACACACACACACACACACACACACACACACACACACACACACACACACATCGTCACCCACAGGTGAATACGCACACACACACACACACACACACACACACACATCGTCACCCACAGGTGAATACGCACGCACGCACGCACACACACACACACACACACACACACACACACACACACACACACACACGTCACACAAAGTAATCATCTTTAGCTCTTTTAGTGTTTGACAGGTCGTTGTGGGAACAGAAGATCTAATCGTCCACCTGGCAACGGCTAAGGGGAGTTTATGAGTTGCCATAGGAGACAGAGGTTGGACTCTGATTGGTTGGCCTTACAGGGGCTGGAGCTTATTAATGCTCTGATTACACAGCCTACTGCCTGAGGTCAGATACATGATTGATTAATTTACTGTAAGACAGACCTGTCATTGATTTTCACAGATGGACCAATCAGATTTTTAGTTCTTTTTAAAACACAGAAAGGTTTTATTTACCTGCAACGTTTCGTTTGCAGCCGCAAATGAAACGTTGCAGGTAAATAAAACCTTTCTGAGTTTTAAAAAGAACTAAAAGATGGAATTAGAATTTCAACACAGCAAGAACACACCAAAGATGGACCAATCAGAGCTGATGTCCTTCCATCAGCAGAGCCAGGAATATCCTGATTGGATGATAAAACCATCTACTTAAAGTAGAGAAGCAGCTTCTGCTGCTTTTTTTTTCTTTTCGTCACAAACATTTTCTAAAATATAAATGATTGTTTAAAATAGAGATAGAATATATTAGACTGGTGGTTCACCGCTTTCGTGACGCCTTCTAGGGTTAGCAGCAGGTCGCGGTTTCACACACAACTCTAAAACAACGGAAGAACACAAATGTATATCTGCTAGGAGACAAGTCCTGATGGTTAAGGTGTTTCTAATGAAGTTTTACCACCTGGAATCCACCTGGGTACGCTGTTTTTATCCATCTATGGAGGTCAATCTGTGTGCTGACTTTGTTTTTCCTCAGAGGAAGAAGAAGAAAAAGGTGCGTCGAGTCCCAGCAGAGGTGACCAGAGAGGGCTACCCTCCTGTAGCTCCGCCCACAGGTACGTCTGTCTCTTCAAATGAGGATACTTGGGCACCAGTGTGTCACTGGACAAATTAAAACCCCCTGTGAGATTTGAGTGTATGGAGGCGGAGCTACAGGTCAGAGTGGCCCACATTCCAAATCAGCAGTGCTGCTGGAGCATCTCCACACTGCTTCAGAATTTCACGTTAGTCAAACTCCTGATCAGGTGAAATGAAACTGCTTAAAGGGGCATTATGGAAGTTTGACAGCCAAAACATGTATAAAAATAATAAATTTCTTCTTCATACATTCTTCTGCAATGCCCTGGTCCTGTAGAATGAGCCCTGGCATTTTTACTGTGATTGCCTGTTTTTCTGTAAAATCACAGAAAAAGAGAGATGCTCGGGTCGAGCAGGCTGCTTCATGCATGTTCACGCTCAGGCATCGCCCGTAGCATTTGCTATCCGTAGCTTTAGCAGCAGAGAGAGAGGTAGTGCCACTTTGTCGCTGTTCCTAACGCCTAGTGATGAACCTAGCTACATTTCTGAGGACCCTTAGCTACTTTCTGTAGAACTTTCTTCTAGATATTTCCTGCAGATTAGCAACAAAATGGCCATTTTTGCTCCGAACCGTTCTTTGGTTTGACGTTGTTTCAGCTGTCATCAAGGATATAAAAGTTACAGATACTGTGAATGTTACTGGTGTGTAGCTCATCTTGTAAGATGTCTGACTCCCATGCAGAAGACCTGGGTTTGATTCTGGATGTGAACATAGTTTATTTAGAGTTTATTTTTTACATTAATGGTATATTTTTTTACAGTAAGATTCCCAAATTTTTATTTGAGACTCGCCGAACGGCATTGAATTCCCAGATAAAAAAGATGTGGGTTCAACTTTCATTTTGGAACAATTTTTCAAGCAAGGGAAGGGAATGATCTGAGCATGCAGGAGGACTGACGCATCTTAAACCTTTGTCGGCTGTGCTGAAGAGAAAGGTACAGAACCACATTATTTAATTAATTAGCTGCGCGTTCTCCTGTCCTCTGTCCTCCGCCCCCCCCCCCACACACACACACTTGGAGCTGACTGTCTCAGCTGTTGTTTTCGTTAAGGAGTGTGCACGTACAGCATGCACGCCTCGTGCACGAGCCTACTATTGAAGCTGCCGTTACATTTTTGACCTGAGGGGGCAATCGCGAGCATAAACATGCAAAAGTCCGAAAAGTCCCTTTAAAAGCAATAGACAGTGAAAAAACACACCTGGATTAAACCAAGGTTAACGAAGTGAGGAAAACTAGAACTAAAAATACATTTTACAATAAAATATTTGACAGCTAACTGAAACAGTATAGCCTGGCAAGCCGTCTTATATGTGTCTGATATATAGTCAGGCCACGGTCCATTACTGGCTCTCAGTCGTGGGGCAGGATCTACGGTTGTATTTCACACTGGTTGATAAGGCGCTATGATTGGACCGTCACAGACATCAGTCAACGGGGCAGTCCACCATCACATCGCAGAAGAACTACATAAAACATAAAACAACGTAAAACAATACATCTCTTTTCTTAATTAACGCACTGTGACTGGTCGGCAGCAATCATGATAAATGATAAATGATAAATGACCCGCACTTGTATATCGCCTTTCAGAGTAAGGACTACAAAGCACTTTACACTACAGTGTATCAATCATCCATTCACACACACATTCACACGCTGGTGGTGATGAACTACATCATATCCACAGCTGTCCTGGGGAGCACTGATAAAAGAGAGCCTGCCGAATGCCTCTGGTCCTTCTGACCACCACCAGCAGGAAAGGTGGGTTAAGTGCCTTGCCCAAGAAAAACAACGACAGTGACAGACTGAGCGGGACTGGATCCTGCAACCACTCGGTTACCGGGTGTGCACTTAACTCCTCGTGCGCTTTGTATTTGTTTACTTTAGGATGACGTCAACTTTTGGTTTCGGTTGTTTTATTTTCTCATTGTGCTACATTAAACCAGCAGATCGCTAGTACATCAGTCACACCGGCTGTCTTCCAGGTGTTGTGCCAAAGTAGGCATCCCCACCAGAATGTGTATCTGGAATTGTGGACTTTTGTCTCCAGCAGACAGAATTTTTGGCAAAGTGCAACAATCAGAGCAACTTAAATTTTGAAGGACGTCTGGATAAGTCTGGTCTTGATTCGAAAAAAGGTAGAAGGCCTTCTCCGGGTCGGGGATGAGGTCCTGCCCCAAGTGGAGGAGTTTAAGTATCTCGGGGTCTTGTTCACGGGTGAGGGAAAACTGAAGCGTGAGATCGATAGGCGGATTGGTGCTGCATCTGCAGTGATGCGGGCGTTGTACCGGTCTGTCGTGGTGAAGAGAGAGCTGAGTCAGAAGGCAAAGCTCTCGATTTACCGGTCGATCTACAATCCTACCCTAACCTATGGTCATGAGCTTTGAGTAATGACCGAAAGAACGAGATTGCGGATACAAGCGGCCGAAATGAGTTTTCTCCGCAGAGCGGCTGGGCTCTCCCTTAGAGATAGGGTGAGAATCTCGGTCATCCGGGAGGGGCTCGGAGTAGATTCGCTGCTCCTCCACATCGAGAGGAGCCAGTTGAGGTGGTTCGGGCATCTGGTCAGGATGCCTCCTGGACACCTCCCTGGTGAGGTTTTCCAGGCACGTCCAACCTGGAGGAGACCTAAAGGTAGAACCAGGACACGGTGGAGGGACTATGTCTCTCACCTGGCCAGAGAACGCCTTGGGATTCCCTCGTAGGAGCTGGCCCAAGTGGCTGGGGAGAGGGAAGTCTGGACGTCCTGACAGGCACCTGCCCCTGCGACCCGGCTCCGGATAAGCGGATGAAAATGGATGGATGGTCTGGATAAGAACTCGGTGCTGTTCACCAACAGTACGTTTGCATGTAGTCGCGTCACCAGAAGGAGAAGAACGGCTCATTACAAGCTCATGCCCGACGCGCCTCTGCAGCAACTAACCTCGTGTTTTGGTAAATTTGCAGGGCTGCTGTGGACATCATGTCATGTGTTCTTACCTCCACACTCAGAAAAGTAAAGGTTGAATTTAGGAAAAACATTTTAAGGTGGGGGTGAAGGAGTGGGTGAAGACTAAATACTGATTCTTGTCATGTTGTCTGCATACAGATTCCACTGTTGCATCCACCGTGTCCCTAGGCCAACGGCTTCCTTTGACAGCATTCCCACTGAGGGTCTCCCTGCCCCCGCTGGGCCCTCCCTCGGGCACAGTCCAGGCCGCTGCCCCTCCTGCGGAGTACAACTCCGACTCTGCAGAGTCTCTGGAAGAGATTCCAGTGGCGCTGGCCAAGCTGGGCTCCTCTTCATCTGCTGGAGCTGGAAACTCCACCACATCATCCCACAGGGCTATCCTGGCGTTCCCAAAGCCCTGCCCCCTCCCTAGGACTAAGAGGAAGGACCCCTCCTCTCATGGGAGTAAGAGCTCAGTAGAGCTGAGGTTTGAGATGGCACCTGTTCCCTCTGTGTTTGTCAGCCAGGCGAGTGGAGAGGTGACTGATACCCGAGAGGCGGTCTTCGGTCTGGGGAGGACACAAATGGGCTTCAGACCTGGACTGAGTTCTCGACCGGTGTCTCGAGCATCGCTGGGCTCAGGTGCAGCCTCCTGGATGGAACAGTGACTACACACAACTGACTTTATTCTGAGCAGACCTTTATTTTGAAGGGATACCAATTTATTTATTATTTTCACTTTATTCTAAAAACCAAAGTGACTTTTCTCGTGTGTGTGTGTGTGTGTGTGTGTGTGTGTGTGTGTGTGTGTGTGTGTGTGTGTGTGTGTGTGTGTGTGAGTGAGTGAGTGTGAGTGAATCTCGAGCATTCACCTCTGTCATAAACTCAGGAGACATCACTACTTCCTGTGGCTCGTCGTGTTTACCTTTCGACTGCTGTGTCACCGCGTCCATGGGAACTCGCGGCCAGAGAGACAAATTTCCCAGCATGCATCTGCTGAGAACTGGTGGAAAACATTTCACTATCTCCACAGATACAATCACTATCATTAGCTTTTGTGTTTGTCACGGTTTTGTCCAGGTAGATGGTCTTTCTTACGCTCTGTGCTGCACCCCCCACCCACCCACTTCAATTGTCACCTGAAAGTGAGTGGATGATCGGGTCGGTGCTGCCCTGTTGCTTTACTCTTTTGTTACTCACCTGTCGCCTTGTTTACCTCTTGAATAATAAACAATTGAATCATCTGTTTATTGACTTATTGTGAAATTTTGGATCTGTTCTAACGGATGGACTGGGACCCGGTAACAATCTCACCTTCTCGTTAAGACCAGCCCTCCATCAGCATCTCCAGTGGGCTCACGAGGTGGAACCAAAGCTGGGGTCTCAGGAGGGTGCGTGTCAGTGGTTTTAAGGCTTCTGTGGGTCTGGTGGATCTGAGCATGCTCCGTGTGTACTCTGATGATGTGACTTTTAAGGACCAGCCTGATGTACAGACAGCTGATCCATTTAGCATCAGCTGCTTCATGTAGCAGCTGTTGGTTCCTATCATCAGACCTGAGTTTGCTAAGAGATCAAACACACACACACACACACACACACACACACACACACACAGTGACCTCAACACTTATTTTGACAGCCTGATATAATCTGTGTGTGTGTGTTTGTGCGCGTGCTCTTTCACTGTTGTTGCTATATATCATCACTTCATGATGTGAGGAGGAGGAGTTGCCTTAGCAACCAGCCACAACAACATCTAACAATGTCAATCACAAAGGAGTGGCAGCAAGAAGTATGTGACAAACACACACACACACTTACAGTTCCTGATCGTGATAAATGACCTGAACTTTTATAGCACTTTCTGAGTCAGAGGACTCCGAAGGGCTTCACACTACAGTCATCCATTCAGGCACACACTCACTAATGTTGGTAATGAGCTACAATGTAGCCACAGCTGCCCTGAGTGCCCTGAATTAGACATGACCGATGGAGTTCAGCTTCATACAAATAAAGTCATAATTCAGCAGGTGGTTCCGAATGCACCTCCATGCTGGACAACCTGCAGATCTACAACACCACCAGAACATCTCTCCTCACAAAGCGGTGCTGCAGAAGAACATCTATGCATGTGTGGGGAGAACACGATTAAACAATGAAGAAAGGTTCTAGCCGGGATTTCAAACTTGCAACCTTTTCACTGTGAGGCAGAAGAGCTACCAGCTGCACCACCATGAAGCCTCAAGTTAGAAGATGTTCTTTGCAACTGAAATAATAGAATTATCTAGTTCTCACACAGGCTGATGGAGCGGACATGATGGAGACCAAAGCTCCAGTCTGATGTCCTCCCAGATCGCTATGGAGACCCCGAAACACATAAAGTCACCTGATAGCAGCAGCTGTTTCCTGCTGACTTGAGATGCTTCCTGCTTCTCTCTCACTAACACACACACACACACACACACACACACACACACACACACACACACACACACACACACACATTCTGCGTTGTTCCTCAGAGAGTGAGTGATGAATCCACCATCTGGACTTTATTCATTCCAGATATTAACAAGACTGTCCACCCATCCGTTCGTCCATCCATCCATCTAGAATCCTCCAGAGGGAAGTTACCAGGAGCCCTCCTGATCTGAACCACCTCAGTTGAACCCTTTTGATAGGGAGGAGCAGGAGCTCTACACTGAGCTCCTCCTGGATGACTACTCTGGAGCCAAACCCAGCCACTGAAGGGAAGAAACCCATTTCAGATGCAGACGGACCAATAACTCAAACATTTCACTCACGATCTTTTCTCTGTGTATGCGTGCATATGAGGGAGAATGTGAGTGTGTGTATGTATATATAATTTCTCTGTGTGTTTGTTTTTGTGAGCTTACGTAAAATGCACCACCAGCTCTCTGACCTCTGACCTGACGCTCTGGGAGCCGACCAACTTCCTCCACCCCCTCCTCCTCCCATTCTACAACCCTACCCTGATGTGGGACAGGATCGCGCCATGGCAACAGGGTAAACAGACAATAACAATCCTTTGCAGCAGCACTCAGGACCAGAAGAGGAGCGGGAGACGCTGGAGGACAGACAGGTTGGACACTGAAGGAACGCAACATCTGTAGACTTAAAGGAGTTCAGGTGAGACGATTTCTGCAGCTGTTTGATCTCGTTTACAGATTATCTGCCGATTGATCACGGAGCAGTTTGATAAGGGAGATCTTGGCTGACCACTAGATGTGCTGCAGGTGTGTTATGATTGTGTTCTAGTGTTTGTAACATATTGGGTGTTTGTTGGACTCATGATAATGTCTGAGCTGTGGAGACCATGTGTGCACACCTGTGTGTGTTTGAGACACAGCCACTCAAAGCCACTTAAAGTTTTACTTTTTGCTTGGAAAACACCTGCAGACACTACTCTGGGTTTATCAGCTGCTTCAGCAGGATATTTAGGTATATGGATGAATTGATGTCAGTCGGTTCTGATGTGTGTGAGCTGTGGGTCTTAAACGGGCCTTCTGAAGCTCAGCTGTTGGTCTGCTCTCACTCCAGAGCGTCTTCATGGCTTCTGATCCATCCTTCTCAAAGTCGGAGTGGTTTCTAGAACTCAGAGCACAAACCCGATGATTCAGACAGGACACCACCTGCAAATAGATGAAACCATCTCACCTGCACAGGTGTCCTGCTCCTGGCTTCTCACCCATTCTGCCTCAGTTGACTTCAGGAAATCTTATCACAGGTCCTCACAGCTGGCTCAATCAAGACCAAAACCAGGACCCGGCTGAGAAATGACACTGGGACAAGGACTGGGGTCGGTTGTTGTCTCTGTGTTTTCACACTAATCAACATTGTGGATTACGTTGGAACAGTTCCAGATGTTTTCAGCCAGCTGTGGTTTCATTACAGATCATTTCAGAGACCCCACCCCTGTCTTCAAATCAAATCAAAGATACTTTATTAATCCCAGAGGGAAATTAGAGTTTCAGTACACATAATTCAGAGATCAGACATACATGGGCAAGACACATGACAAGAATTGGTGACTGTGATCATTCGCAACCCTGAGTCGCGCTACTTTAATAGAGATAAGAGGGTTACATGAGGATTGGTTCAGGTGGAGGGGAAAAAAGGCACTTCAGAGTTACCCTCCAGCAGGAGGGCAGCTTTGCTCTGCAAAAAAAAAAAAACACCTCAGACAGATATGCAACTGACTTCAGACATCACACAACATAAGTGTCCACTAGGTGGGGTGGTGGGTTGGGACTATCCCCACTTCCGTTCCTGCAGCCACGATAAGCAGCGCATGTCACCTCAGTGTGGATGGTAGGAGGAGCATTGAGGGTTGGAGGGTTGCAGTGACCCTGGACGCTTCAGCGGCCTTCCCGCAGTCCCGCCCAGTCTGGGATAGGAGACAGAGTTGAGTTGCCATAGCGACGGCACATTCCACATATATTCTGAGGGGGGAGTTTTCGTTGGAGCCTTGCAGGCTCAAGGGCCCCAGATTCCGATTAGAAATGGTTTTGGGGTCAGACAGAGATAATTTCCTCTGTCTTACAGTTTGTTGGTCCTCAACCTCTCAGAATCCCAATAATGGACATTAAACTATCCCAATCCGTGCTGATTCGTCCACTTTCTCCTTGATGCCATCCATCTTTTGTGCCAATGAATGAATCTCCACCAAAGTTCCAAGCTTACGATTCATCTCGACAATTATGTGAGTCTGTGAATTCACAGCGCGGTGCAAACCATCTCTGAGCTCCGGGATCAGGCCAATATTCCTCGACAGCTCATTAATTTTCCGGTAAGCCAGGTAGCCTCCAAGGCCAATGAGCAGGAAACCTGACACCAACACCACGAATATCCACACGTCTTCAGAGTCCTCCACAGACAGCTGAGATAAACAAATCAAGTTCCACTGTTTCCAGGAGTCCATGATGTGTCCAACTGGGTCTGTCCCGGCAGCACATCCAGGAGACCCTTCTCCCGTTCTCATCGTTGAAAAAATTGTATCAATCGCATTGAGACGCGATCAGCGTAGATCAGCTGACGAGATCCATTTAAGTGTGTTTCAGTTTCCAGAAAAATGCAGAAGCAGCCGTGCACCCAGCACACAGAGACAGAAAAAGGCCTTGAGGATAAGATATGGACGAGAGGAGGGAAAAAAGCGAGGATGCTTAGAGTCTGATCAGGTCCTAGAAGCTGTTTGTGACTGATGGTTTATTGGAATTGTGATCCAGTTCATGAAGTTTATTACATAAAATCTCTTTCACGTAGTGCAATTTCAGCAACTGTAGTCTTGACAGTTTTGGTACCATCCAGAATTAACTGGAACTGGCCACTCCCACCCACTCTCTGATTAGCTGCTATGAGGTAAGAAACTCAGATATGCAGGCGGGGCTTGGAGTAGAGCTGCTGCTCCTTCAGAATTGATTGGTGAGGGGAAGGTTCTATGTTGATAATCCATATTGTGACATCACAAAAAGGGGCCTTTAGAAATGGTTTGTTTTAGTTAAATAGTTCCTGACTCCAAACACTGATGGAAAACGGATGGACATTTTTCTGTTTAGTGTTTGAAGTGTTTATAGAAGCAGTAGAGTCCCACATGGCAGCACAAAAGGATGCAAATGGCGAGTTTTGCATAATATGTCTCCTTGAAGGTAGATACGCTATCATCATCACCACCAGTTACATGGTTGCCTCCACCATAGGGAGCGCTCGTTAATGAGTCTGACTGAGGGAGGGAGTTGATTATGTTTACCTGGAGGAACACTGCTCCCCTTCCCTGAGTTCAGCAGAACATGACCTGAAGATGCTTTTCTTGTTTCTGCCTAAAACTTGAAAGTGGAGACCAGTTGTATTGTGCTGCCATGTAGCAGCATCCAGAAGCTTTCGCCAGCAGAAAACACCCTAGCATCCACAAGCAGGATCAGCAAACACACCTTCAACCAATGAGTGTTCCTGCTGTCGGGTTTCATATAGCACAGAGTTCATCTCACAGACGTAACTGACTTCGCCATCTGGAATCTGACACCCTTATATTAGGAGTAACACACACACACACACACACACACACGCACACACACACACACACACACACACACACACACACACACACACACACACACACACACACACACACACACACACACACACACACACACACACACAGCAAACTTAAGTCTGTGTGAAATCAGAGCATCTGATTGGCTGTTCTGATCTGACAAAATATCCTGGCTTACTGATGTGAATTTGTTTTCTCACGTGGACACGCTTCCATTTAACGACTAAAATAGGATCAAAACAAGCATCCTTCCTCTGACTTTAGCCCCGCCCACCTTAATCTACAGTCCCAGTGATTGGTTGAGCCTCTTGAACTTGTTCGTACTTCACACGCAGGTGAGGAGGAGTCCAACTTTCTGCTGTAGGTGAAGCAGCAGCAGGAAACGAAAAGTAAAGAAACTCGTGTGACTTTGTCCCATCAAGGATCTGTTTCTCAGTTACCATGGAAACAACTGTTGGGGATTGCATCAACACGTGTGTAATCACAGAAGCGTGAGAAACCACAGTGAGCTCATGTCTCTCACACACACACACACACACACACACACACACACACACACACACACACACACACACACACACACACACACACACACACACACACACACACACACACACACACACACACACACACACACACACACACACACACACACACACACACACACACACACACACACACACACACACACACACACACGTTTTTGCTACACCTGAAGATAAAATAAAAGGGCAGAATGTGTTTTAATTCATTCTGACACAGTTTTGCAACCGAACAGGGAAAGATGGACCAAACTTAGACAACTACGGAGCGCCCTGAGGGTCACAGTGATCCATGTTTACAAATGTGAGCCGCAGGTCGGATCGAATTGGACAGGTATTCATAGACTCACCAACCTGTTTTCCTCCACCAATCACCTGCTCTCTACACCACAGCCACCATGGCAACCAGTTCAGACCTGGAGCAGCTCCTTGCAGCTTTCAGGAGGTTTGCTGTTCATGGAGACACAAAGGCGACTGGAAAGGAGCTAAATGGGAAGAACTGGGCCAAACTCTGCAAGGACTGCAAGATAATCGATGGCAAGAATGTCACCAGCACTGATGTGGACATCATCTTCTCTAAAGTCAAGTGAGTGACTCTCCCTACAGCTTGTCTCAGGATAGATGGATGTTCTGCAGCTTTGTTTAAATTGTTGTGAAATGATTTGTGGGAAAACAAAATGGTCTGTGTGCTCAGGCAGAGGACGGCCCGAGTCATCACCTACGAGGAGTTTCAGCGAGCACTTGATGAGCTGGCTCCGAAGAGATTCAAAGGTCAAAGCAAAGAGGAAGCTCTTCTGTCCATCCATAAGCTGGTGGAGAACGGAGAACCTACAAACATCGGTGTGACGGTGAGACGCCTGATTAGGTGCTTTAGATAAACATCATGACAGCAGGTCGGAGGTTACGGACCTGACCCTGGTGAGCTGCTGTGGTTGCCATGGTGACCCTGATGAGATTCTGGCAGCTGCGGTGACATTTCTGTTGATCCTGTTACTCACAAAACCAGGGACACTAAAATCAAACACGCTTTTCTTCAGAGGCTTTCCTGTTTTGTTTGTAAAAGTTGAAGAAATATTCTTAAAGATAAAAACTGTAAAATTCTTTTTGGACACTTTCAGGCTGATCGTTGATCTGCAGCTCTGATCTTCTCTGTGTTTAATCAGAAAGTGGCAAAGACGGCGACGGTGGACCGTCTGACTGACACGTCCCGCTACACTGGATCTCACAAGGAGCGCTTTGACGAGAGCGGCAGGGGAAAAGGTCGCGAAGGTCGGGAGGAGATAGTAGAGAACACGGGCTATGTGGGTGCATACAAGAACGCCGGCACGTACGACGCCAAGGCGAAGGCTGAGAAGTGACGAATCAGCACCACCTACTGGGAGCTGATGGAAGTACAGCACTTCAACTGGACCAAACTGTGACCTCGCGCGCGCGCGCGCGCGTGTGTGTGTGTGTGTGTGTGTGTGTGTGTGTGTGTGTGTGTGTGTGTGTGTGTGTGTGTGTGTGTGTGTGTGTGTGTGTTGAACTGAACTCCATGTTCAGTCTGATGAGCTGCACTCAATTAGATTGTCTGTAAAACCCATTAGCAGCGCCCCCTGAGGCACAATTTTCTGTTACACATCTGGACTTTTAAGCTGGCTGAAAGTGTGAGAGCGGTTTTTGCTGCAGACCCGGAGACCACCGACCGATTCAGGCCGACTGTGAAGTCAGGCTGGCAGCAGATTCAGGCTTCTACTGCTCAGTGGTCTAGTGGTAGAGTGTCCACCCTGGGAGTGGGAGGTTGGGGTTTAAATCCTGGTCGGGTCATACCAAAGACTTTAAAAATGGGACCCGGTGCCCCCCTGCTTGACACTCATCTTTAAAGAGTTGGATTGGGGACAATGTATGGGACTTTAACTTTTGAGACAGCGCTGCTCGCTGGTTTCATAGCAAACCCAGATGGATCACGAGCGGAGTGTTAGTATTGAACATGGAGCACGTTATCTGTTTAACTGTTTAATGAATCCAGAGTTTTCTTCCTAAATTTCTAAGAATTTATTCTGGCCCCAAACCTTGTCCTGACCCTACATAAACATTCATCAATTAGAGGTTTCAGTCTCAAAAAGGCTAGAAGCGTGAATCTGCGGTCTCCGGGTCTGTGGCCATGTACTGTTGGCAAGTGCCACCAACTCACCTGCCTCAAAGTCCTGCCCACTCACCTGCACCAATAAAGTGTTCTTAATCATCTCGAACTACTTGCATCCAAACTCCCAACATCAGGCTCAGTCTCAGAAACAACATGGCGGCTCCAGTAAATGGCAGCAGGGGTGGCTGTGGCATTTTTGTTTATAATGAAGCGTTAATAGGACTGAGCGTTCTTTATGTTTCTCTTGTTGCCAAACTTACCTGGGCTCACCGACTCCAAACAGCTGACAGAAACAAGCTGACATTTGACTCCTCAGATTTGGAACCTCTTTTGTAAACATCACAACAAACACAAAACAACAGCTGAACAACATACAATTAATTTGGTTTAACCAATCAGGAGCTGATCCTGACGACCCAATCAGGAACAAAACTGTTCAGAGACATGACAAACATTTCCGTGTCTACGCTGGTCAGAAAGAGAAATAAAACCTCAACAAATACAGATGTGTGTGGATATTCATTTACAGTGTGTGTGTGTGTGCACGCGCGTGTTTATGGGGGCATCCTGCTGCTGATGGGGAAACCCTCTGATGCGGTTGTAGTGTGTTTTTCACCACCAGGGGGAGGTGTTGCCTTCAGGGAGCTGAACTCAGAGAGGAACTTTTGCACCTGAAGCAGATGATGAAGGAACTGAGAGCTGAAAACAAATATATGTTTTCTTTCTAGCTCAAGCAGCAAGGACTAAGAAACCATCTGGTTCCTGTTGAAGAACTTTGTTCATCATTCATTAAAACTACATCCATGAAAGAGCCCCGCCTCCTTTACTGCTGCTCACTAATCCTGATTACAACAGGCGTACAGTGTCTCCAGCAGAGACGACTGAACACAGCACATACCTCACGGGACAAGAGGACATCAAGGGGAGGTGGAGTGGGAGATGTGAGGACAAGATCAGAGTCCCAGCATGGATGGAAGAGGGAGAAGAGGGACTGACGGGTCAGTCAAACGTTCGTCTGTCAAACGCAGCGCGTCTTCTGGGTCCCAAAGGGTAAGACTCATCACAGACCGCACAGGTCCAACCTGTCCCGGTTTCCCTCCAGCAGCTGAGTGTTTTGGTTTGTGATCCTGATGCTTTAACTCTGATGTTTGAGAGTCTGTAGGACATCTGGAGTCTGCTGGTCCAGATGTTCTGCTGATGTTCAAGTTGTCTGATCGCTGGCTCAGATCTGTGCAGGGATGAAACTTTTAGCTGAGGTTCCTGTCAGTTCTCTTTAGTTTGAAGAACCAGAACTGGACTGGTTCTCTGAGACCAGCTTCTGGTACAAACACGTTTGAATCAGGTTCCTCATCCTTTCAGTTAGGAAACTTATTGCCTGAGGTCAAAGGTCGCCAGAACTGATGCAAGGACCTTGACTGGGTCAGAAGTCATTCTTTTGAAAAATGTTTTTTTCTTAGCGTGGGTTCGATTTGGGTTTGACCCAGATGAAATCAGCAGATGTGATTCTGGTTTTAGACTCAGCCGGATCAGACCCGTTTGTGTCTGATTACAGTGATTCTCTCAGCTAAACAGGATCCTGGTTCTGGTTCTGTTGTGCTGCATATTACCTGAGCTGTGAGATTCCTGGTGTGTGTGTGTTTGTGTGTGTGTGTGTGTGTGTGTGTGTGTGTGTGTGTGTGTGTGTGTGTGTGTGTGTGTGTGTGTGTGTGTGTGTGTGTGTGTGTGTGTGTGTGTATGCTCGCTCCTCTTCCTCTGTCATGATGGGGAAGCAGACAAAGCTTTGAAAGGCTGTCAGACTTGATTAGCCGATCACTGAGCTTTGTTTTCTTGTTAGTTTCGTTTTTTTAATTATTAATTTTTCCGGAACCTCCTGAACCAGTTTGATGAATTCAGCTGCTTTCATCTGATAACATCCGTTCAGATTTTCTCTGATGCAGATGTTCTGACCCGTGAATCAAACACTCCCACACACTGCTGCAGCGTCTGTCTTTCATTCAGGGTCAGATAAAGCAAAACATGAAACACGGAGTTCAGGACAGGACAGAGTCCAAATAAGGCTCTATTGCTGATGGTTCTAAAGCTGCATGATGTCTGGGTTTAAATGACTTCTGGGCACATCCAATCACAGAAGACCTAAAGGGAGAGCCAGGACACAATGGAGGGACTTTGTCTCTCGCCTGGCCAGGGAACGCCTTGGGATTCCCCCGGAAGAGCTGGCCCAAGCGGCAGGGGAGAGGGACATCTAGGCCTCTCGGCTTAAGCTGTGACCCCTACGACCCGACTCCGGATAAGCGGAAGAAAATGGATGGATGGATACTTCTTGTCAGCCCCGTGTTCGTCTGGGATCTGCTCTCTGATTGGTTCTGAGCAGCAAATCCACTTCCTGGCTGTTTAGCAAACAGCTGATTAACAAACAGGTGGTTCCTGTGAGCAGAATTAATCTCAGATAAAACCCTAATGATCCGAATCCATAACTCGCTCTGCTGGGTCCTTCCAGTCCATGTGAACAGAACCACCAAGGTTCAGCTCCAAACACATTCCACAAACAGAACCACTTCCACGCTGACCTAATAAATATTCACACGATCAGTCCAGAACTTCAACTGCAGGTCCGATCAGGTGTAGAAGAAGAAATCTAGTATCTGGGCCTTCAGAACCAGTAAGATTCCTTGTTGGAATGTTTGAAAATGCCTCAACTAAAACTCCAAAAGTTCTGGAGATAACCCAAATTGAAACACAATCAGAGGAACATCTGGCAGGCGAAACAGCTGGATCATAACTTATAATTAAACAATCAGACCCAAATCCTGAAGAAGAACCACATGTTGCAGAAGGTTTGAGACAGAGAAGACTTGGTTCTGAGGAATTAGAGTTCTCTTGTTGGCTCCACATTTGTGGTTTGGGTTCTGTTGGTGAAAAAAAGTTCTTGTGTTGAAACTCAGCAGATCATGAGACTCAGAGATGGATTAACTGGGTCCAGAGTCATGAGACCGGTCCTGCTGCCTCACATGCTGATCACATGAACCCAGAACCCTCTCAAAACCCACGGGCCTGCGTAGAGGGTCTCAGAGGAACTCCAGGTGGGTCTGCAGAGGGGATGGAGTCCGGTTCAGGGGGAGTTGTTTGGTTCTCCTGGAGCCCAAACAAGATCGGCTTCTCTGGTCTGAAGGTGGATCTCTCACGTTCTCTTTGGGCTGATCCGAATGGCTCAGAACCTGCACTGAAGGTTCTAAACGTACTAAAAGTAGTTTGTCTCTATATACAGAGTCTAGAAGTTCTGATCCGATAGAAACTTAGTTCTGAAAAATGTATTTCTTTTTTTTTCTGAAGTTTAGAAAGAATCAAAAACAAATTAAATTTGACGAGTCGTTCTGCTTCCAGTCAGATTAAAAACCTAAAGAAATTCAACTTAAAGAGTCTGGAAATGTTCTGATCCGATCGGACCTGCAACAATTCTGGTGAGTCACAAAATCTTCAGAGATTTGGATTTTTACATAAAATCGTGTGTGTGTGTGTGTGTGTGTGTGTGATGTTTGTGATAGAAATGAATTTCAAATACAGTAAAATACTAAAAATGAAGGAAATT